GTTACCTTTAACTGCATGATGACAGTTAAGAATATAGAAAAAGAACATTCATTTAATACCTGTCACATAAGTCTTGACAACCCCTGAAAACCACAGGCATTACTCTGCAACAATGACAACAAATCATTACATAAAATAGGGTTAGGGTTTAATTAACATTAAAAGTGAGTGACAAGACATAGCCACAAACATCAGCCTCAGAAATTAAGACTTCAGTCACTGGTGGATAAGTATTTTTTGCACCAATATTATTGTTAGTCTAGTTTTAGCATATCACATGGTATCACAAGTAACAAAAAGAGTAATTTATCATAAGTTTCTTTATGATTCCATGAAACCAATGGGGGAAGAATAGGGAACTTAATAAGCAGATCACGACGGCGACAGCAAAGAGGATGTGGAAAAACAAAAGATCTAATTGGTAGCACAATGGGTCGTCAAGTGCATTTTAAAGCTTTGTATATTTCTTAGCAGTCCTTTGCAAAACAACAAAGTGAAATCACAAAAATTTGTGTCGTCTGCGAACAGAAACCGCGACAGCAAATTATTTTAATTTCCATTTGGAACTCAATGCTACTTTTATACACTAAGCTGATGTTGAGGTGTGGGGCCGTATGAGATGGTAAACACATGCGGCCATTTTTGAAATTCTAGTCAAAGGTAGGAATTCATTTTTGAATTGACGTCTTCCCTGGCATTGCCGTCCTGACTGCTTAAGGTCCCTAATATTACTGATATTACACCCAGCATAAGAGAAATCATGTAAAGAAATACAAAATTTGTGCCAAATGTAACACCTCTGGATCAAGGAAAAATTTAGTACACAAGTTATTTACCTTTGAAACTTGTGGAACAGGGCAGCAGATATACAAAATGTTTTCTTTACTTCAGTAAGGTGATCAGTAACAGGAGAACCAACTTTCCAAACTGAACTGAACTGTTTCACCACCTTGAAGAATTCTACCATACTGCCAGAAAAAAAATATCATTGCACCAACTTGCAATATCGATGTCACTAGCATAAACATGTCTTTCTGTCTAAAACTGCATAAAAGAGTGTAATGCATGTAAAAGACAACCCTTGAGAAAAATTCAAATTACTGATGTACCTCAGTCTACAATAGTATTAATTAACTTACCTTATTTTAGCTTCCCTCAATAGCTTGCTCAATGAACAGCTACTTTTAGTAGCAGACTGTTGAGCACTATTGAATCTGAATATCAGAAAAAAGTGTTTTGAGTGATTTTCATTTCACAGCCACTTCTACTCTTGTACATTTCCACTACATACCAACCTGGTGTCACAATTTGTAACGTAAATGGCACATATAAACCATGGAATTAAAGTATTCTGCAAAGGAAATAGATTAACATTGTTTTAAGTTACATGATTTAAAGGCTACATCTAGTTAATAACTTAATGTGAAGATGCAGTATTCTATTCGAAACTGATTCTAGAGTTAAAGAATTGTATTGAAAAGTCTACATTTAGGATTGATTTTAAATTATAGTCTTACAATATTTCACAAAATTAATACATCTGATTTAACATGTGATTTCAGAGAAATAGTGAAAAATTTTGCTGTTAAATTGTCTTCCTGCAAAAAACTTTAGTACATGATGAACTTAAAAAATCCATATAGAAAAAGGCAAGAAAACTCACATATTGAAATCACTATAAATGCTAAAATCTTAAAGTGAAGTCAAATTTGGTTTTTTGCATCACTAAAGAGAAAATAAGCTTTTGCTATTTCATATATACCTTTGATGTTTCTTGAATTTTTAAAGAAACAGACTCCCAAACATTCCAGGCCTTCTCTTTGCATTTTTCCTCCAATTCTACTTGCTGGCAAAAGTTATCAAACCACTCCTTAGCCTCCATTTACAAGAACTAAGATGTCAGGCTCAGTAAAATGTCATCTGTAACAAAATATAGTCAGGTTACTCTTTGATATTGTATGTCCTCCAGTGAACATACATGTATGAAGTGTGGAAATGTTGTATGAACACCAAAATTTGGTGTTTACTTCATCATTTTAAAGACTTGCATAATTGTGCAGTTTTTCATTTCTTTTAATTTCTTTTTTCCAATTTCAGTTTTTAGTTAAAAAACAAAACAAAACTGTTGTTTGAAAAATGCCTGCATGGGTACAGAAAATTCTAATTTTTTGGAAAGCCCTCAAGGTCTTTGCAATTATAAGTTATACACAACCCAACACAGGAGGCAGACAAAAAACAAATGATCAAATTTGATACATAAATGATACCTAAATCAACAAATATGCAAATACATAAATAACCAACAAATCATTAGAGAAATGTACTAAAAATAAAGAAAAACAATAGAATGCTGAAAATGAGCAAAATTCATTGGTGAAATGTAAAGAGACTGAATTGATTATATAATAAGTAAATTTACCGCATGATGCATCTCTCATCTAGAACTTACAACTATGGTGGTTTATTACGCTTAGGGGAACATCGAATTTCAACAGGTACGATGATATGCTCTTAATAATTTTCGGGGCTGGCAAACAACTCAAACTTTGACTCGAGCCCATAGTGGATGATTTTATCCAAATGAAATTGAAAGACAGCTTTAAGAGCTCATATGCAGTTAAAACAGAGAAACAAAAATTCCCTAAAGGTTATGTCCATGAAATCCTAAGGTTGCCTCTTCATTCACTATGTTTTTATGTACAAGACGTTGTAGAAAATTGGCTAGTTACAAGGTTGAATGAGCCACAATAAAATCAGCTGAACTGCAACTAATATATTAACGACATTAAAAATGTTCACGAATAAAAAGCTTGTTTGGAAACGAACGACAAAAAAAATATTCAAGCTTCCAAAATCCTCTTTGTGTGATTTTTCAGGCCGTGGGTTTGGACAAAAGCAACAAGAAAAAAGACTTTCCAAACGAGCAAGACTTTCAGCTCGAGTTCTTGAAGTGTAAACAGCAACCCTTTTCGAGTTCAGCGGTAGCATCTGATTCTACTCACCTGTTGTCTGTCACGAAATTATGTCTACGCAGCATACGCATTGTATTGTCGGATATCCACTAACATCTGCCACAAATTAAAGGAAAATCTGAAACGAGCGCCAATACTCTAACATTTTAATTTATCATAGTGGACCACCGCAAAACATTTCGCGCCTTCGCCTGAGCAGGTTTACTTCCGTTTATAGACTTTGACAATATGACAAATATGGAAATTTGCTACATTGTTGTTCACCAAATATGGTAAATAGCGGAAGTGCGACTGAACACCATAGTAATATATTAGCTCATATGGCGGGAAAAATTGGCGGGGAGTTTGTAATGATGGAACAAACTTCTATTTGCACTTTTGTTAAACATTTTCAAAATTTAAGTAACGCCCCTTGAAAAAGGTATTTTAGTCTCATAGGTTTCGAACTTTGTCGGAGGCTCCATTTAAAAAGACCTCTGTTTTCCCCATAGTTTTGCTATGGTTTGGTGAATCGATTGTAACCTTCACAACTACATGTAATAAAAATATGTAAAGAAGTGAATGGCACGACGTCGCACTCTCGCCAATTTTCAATAATTTCCTCCAGCTATAACTGGTCTCTCATATTTAACTGCTTTGGTTGATTATTTTGCTTCGCGTGAACGAACGTTTCCCTTTAGGTACGTAACAATATGGTTTTCGGTTTTCAGAGCATGAGCGTTCTAAATGAATTCCCTTCGACTTGTCAATGCGGGCGATTCTTTCGCCTAGCGCCTAAAATGGCAAATGAATAAGACCTTTCACCCATCAACTCGCAAGATTTGGAACGGTAAAGGCGAAGGGTAGACTCAAAAGAAAAATGCCTGCAGTTCACAACTATTCAGACGATGAAAACAAGTTAGTTGAAGTAACGGCATGCTCTACATATGAAAAAACGTAAATGTATCATTATGAAAGCGCGTTTAATGAAGCAATCACATTAATACTCTTGCATTCTTACCTAGGCAAGGTGAAAACACATTTCAATTTTTGCTCTCCGCAAAGTCACTGTTCGCGTGCCTTCAGTCTGGCGTTAATAAACAGGATCATACTCATTCATTCCACGGATATTATACGAGTGCCCTTCATATCTAGCTGTCTGGCTTAAAATTTGAAACCAATCATCCTTGATATTTTATTTGATTGTTTATTTCTCTGTCACCTGACCGTTGATGAGTGGGGTTTTGACGGCTTTCAGCAGTCGGTGGTAAATACTTCTCGATCACTTTTCATAATTAACAGGTGACTGCGGGCATAGAAAATGGCGGTCTAAAGTAATGGAGTGGAAACGTATCACATAAAATCAATCAGATATTTTCATAGACATTTCTGAACATGACAACAGCGTTTTTAGTTTCATAAAAGATCCCGCGTCCACGAGAGATAAAAGATAGAAACTAAAAAATTTTGATGTTGGAATAACTAGGTATGACTGACACATTTACTTACTTTGGCGAAAAAAAAACCAGAAAATAATTTTGAACTCAGAAATAGAATATGCTTTAAACAGTAGTTCAGTTATGAAGTAATAATCCACAATGCATGCTGTTATGTAGCGGTAACAGAAGGTTAAGTCGGAAGCGGAAAAATATCGAATTCCAACAAGATCATAGCTGTCCATCTTTGTAGTAACTTTTCGGAACAGTGGAAATGTTTTGATCAGAACAAGGGAAGGGAAAGAGACGGCGAGGTGGTGAATGCTGCAGTTTATGTGATTCAAATGCAGTAGACCTTCATAAATTATCAGAAGCTGTAGTTCTGTCCAGTTAAGAAGGCAAGAGATTACAATAGTTGAAGATCGATCCAAGTGAAAAGTGTAAAACTCCTCTTTGTACTAATAAGAAACAAATCTACTCAAGAAATCTGCATGGAACATTGTTCGTTCTGACTATAGAAAGGACACCTATATTAAAGGGATGCTGCCATTACTACCTTCACAAGGAAAGGCCCGTTTCATTCGGTTGTTCACCTTTATTTCTTGCTGAGCGTTAACAGTTTCCTTCAGTCACTGCCTAAAATTTCCAACACTTATCCACGAACAATTTTCATTATATTTTTTTTATTATGGTTTTATGAACTGACGGTTAATGCTGGGTGACCAAATCAAATAGATTCGAATGGGAGAGAGAAGAATAAGCAGGAATATTCTGAAAGTTGGTCCCGAGATAAAGTGTCGTAGGTAGACGTTTTAACATTACACTGCGGCTTAAGTGCATTACATTATCAGAAATTTCTCTCATTTTTACTGTATGTGATGATCTCTTACAATGCACAAGCCTGGTTCACTTATGTGGAAAGAAGGAAAATGTCTTTCCCACGAGTTATTCTACTGATATCAAACATAATTGACTCCACAAACGTAGAAATTTTTCTCCATTTCAAAACAAACGTGTTGGCCAGAACATTTATGCCTTTGTGTACTAAAAGTTTGATACCCGTTTCCCCCTGTTAAACTTTCCTCTTGCATGCAGTCGTATGACTTACCATGGATCTATATTCGTCATAATTCACCACACCAGAGAATCATGAATTCCTCTAGAAATTCGCCCTGTTTTGAAGTGCATTTGATAGGAGTGCCGCTAAACCATCGTTAAACCATCGTGATCTGTTGTATGCTCAATGTATATTTCTCGCCTTTGTATGACATGACGTGACTTCGACAAATATTCTGAAAACTTGTTTGTATCATTCTTTTAGGATTGCTAGGAGTAATTAAATAATCTTAATTTATGATGATTATATCCCGGTTTGGCCATACTTGATTCACAAATGTAGCGCTTTATTATGTTAATTTAGAACGGCAGATTTATGCGCACTGTCATAGGTATTTGGAATAATTTAGTCAAATTAGAAGTTGGCATTTAGTTTGAAGGCGAAAGGTCGGTGGTTTCTAAAGCTAAACGGCAAGAAAGGGACGGTTTTACCCGCGCCTGTGAAAGGACATACTTGATGTGATCGATTACATTTATCACTGAATATCGCATCAGGAAATTTATGACCTTTTGAGAGGTCGTAAGTTGCTAAGACCGCGGAATAAGTCTCACGGACAAGTAGCAGAGACAAGTCACGTTGTTTGACATGGAAAATTATCGCACAAATCTTTGACCCTACGACAAAAAAATTGTCCGGCAAAAATTTGCAGAAGTTCTAAGTGTCTTGAATTTGTACGGTCGGTTATCGGGTCAAAAAATATTTCATAGCGACTTGTTTATACACAAAACAGGTTTCAGTTTGTTCCATAGATCTGTTGCAGGAGTTTTTCGCCCATGTGTCCTAACCCTAAAACAGCATTTGAATATTTTTTTTCAACTTTTAATTCTACCTTACGGCTTCTGGATTCTTTCAGAGAAAAGTGAAGGGTCGAAGGGGAAGGAGAGGGCAGACGTTTAGCCCTGTTAAATTAAAATATGTGGAATGGCTAGAGCATATATCTATTAACATTTTTGCAGTATTACCCTCAAAGACTGTGCTTCTGTGAACAAGATCATGAAACAGGTCTAGAGAATAGTTGCCAGCCTAAGCGCGAATAAGGTCTATTTGGCCTGAAACTGCTCATACGTCTATAACATTCTCTCGAAAAGGAGAACGAGTACGTCGCTCTCTGCTTATCAACTCTTGAGCTAGTGACAGTCAATAAGTTCAGTTTGTGCGATTAGCTAAAACGTTTGTAAAAAGATAATTACCTCAGTGTTTATGTATTTAGCATCGCTGCACTTATTGTCACGCGTGCTGAAAATGTATCAACAAAAAGAGTAGATAGATGGAAAATTGGTGAAAGGTTAGCCCACTATTCGACTATTTGTTTATAGTCACACAGGATTTAGGAAGTACATAAAAACATATCTTAAGTATCATTGGACTTGTTTGAGGGTAAAACAAGTCGTTCAGTTAAAAAGTGTAAATGTTAAAATAGTTCTTTGTGCGTATTTGTCGGTGTAAGCCAATAACAAAGTGTGAGAATCATTGCAGAGAGTAAAAACTTTAAGTCGTTGGTATACAAGCATTAATTACGGATTCACTGGTAGTATGCCATCTGAATCCTTTCACCACTCTGAACTAACAGCGCTGCAGACAGTTCAATATCTAAGGAACTTCCTTGATATACATCTTTGTTTCGGATGCAGATGGTAACTGAGAAACCTCCTTTCAATCACTAATGCACTTCCAAATTCAGTTACATTATTTAAAAAGCTGCGCGAGAATTTATCGAATCGTAACCAAAGCAATATTGAATGATACTAAAGCAAGCTCAAATGTGTATCAATCATTTTACCATCGGCTAGTTTTAACTTTCCAAATGGACACAGGCACGAACAGTCAGTGAATGATGAAGCAAAATTCAATATTGTAGGTAGTTAAATAAAATTCGCCATGAGTAAATTGTAACCGTGACTTGCTGACGCAAGCGAGGAGAAAATTTAATAACAAAAGTATATTCAGCTTGTTTTCTTTTCACGTTAGGAGCTGTTGAAAAAGTCAATCTCTGCATCGAAGTATGACTTTAATCTGTCAAACTAGGCAAATTATTTAAGATTTAGGATACATTTTTTTTTATTAAATGAACAAAGGTAGTGGTAAGGTATTTGGGTTTCGCCAGGAACATGATGAGTCGATCGGAAGAGGTAAAGAGTCCTGTATTTCCTTTTTCATGTTTCAGGTTTTGAATTTGCATTTTTAATTCGTTTAAATCCACTTTTATAGCTCATTTTTTAAAAACAGAATTCAAGTTTAATGGTGGCTCAAATAACGAGATGGCTGCTGACACTTAAAGAAAGGATTATTTTGTTTCGAACTTCCATTTAAGAATCGGAAAACGATACCATATTTGTTCTATGAGGATGTCAAAGCTGAATTAGACATTTCTCTAATTGGTTCAAGATATTTCTGGTGAACGGACGAGTAAAACTTCCATGATGTTTTCGTTTGGTCTTAAAAAGAAATGGCCAGTATGGTTAATTAGCTGAAATGAGTCCTACCTTTGATTGATCCATCATAGATGTTCGGTCCGCTTGGAAAAACTTAATACAGTGCGCGGCGTTTCATTTCATTAGATTGATGAAATACTTTCCCGGTTCAACACAGTAACTAAAAAGCTCGTCAAATTAGTTTCAGTCAGTAAAATAACGTTGTAAATGTTCATTTACGGTTCCATTGAAGTTATTTAAGCTACATGTTCGCGCGTAGGGGTATTATTGATTCATTGGAGGTTTCTTTCATATCTTGCATTTGATTTCATTAACAATACTGTGAAACAAATCTCTGGTGTAAAAAGCTTTGTTTTTTTACCGTTGTCTTTCAGTCAAACACAAAATGTAAGATGATAAAAATCTACATTGGGCTGAAAAAATATCCCTCGCAAATTTTCCAAATGTTTAGACCACCTTCCAATTTCAACAAACCACGGTACACATAATTTGCTCGTATTTTCTATTGCTTTAATTTGCCAAGTTTAAGGAACCCTAGCATCTGGCCAACATTGAAACGTTAATAAATATGACTAATATTTAAACGGCAGGTCATGTAATCCATTCGTCGCCAGAAATGTCTCCGTATTTGGAGTTTGTTTTACTCCAAGCTTTCTTGTTTTCAAAGATCACCGCTGGCTCTAACGTCTGCAGCTCTAGTGTTCCAGACATCGATTACGTCCTCACTGGTCACGTGATACGGACTCTAAAACTCAAGACTTTTGAGAGCTGTACATTTTCTTGCGAAATTGAGCCGAAATGTTTTAGTATCAACTACGTGTCATCGCAAGGAACTTGTGAACTCAACAGAGCAACCAAGGATTTTTTTCCTGGAGACGTAGTGAAACAGAATGGGGCATTTTATTTGGATATGGTGGTCCGCCAGTTTCATCGTGATCGTGATCCTTGTGAGAGCATGCGCTGTGAAAATGGAGGGACATGTGTCGTGAGTCCGACCTTGAAGTGCAATTGTCCTGATGGTTACACTGGGCTTCGCTGTCAAAGTAAGAAATTCGAAAGCTAGCACCACCAGCAAAGTATGAAATAGCCTAACAACGACAGAAATCGAGACGACTGTAGAAAATTCTCGATTATAATTGGTCATCACAACGCGTTATATGGGTGTGGTTTTAGATGCATGTCTGGTTTATTTTCTCGTGCGCATTACGGCTAACTAAGAAAAGTTTGCTGTTTTGTTTCAGTTTACCGATAGACACGTTATTTTCTGGGAAAAAATAGTTACCCACATCTTCCTTCTATAGCTTGCTTTGTCTCTATGACGAACCATGTGGATGATGCCTAAATAGGCAATGACGCTTGCTGGGACTCAAGCCCGACCCTTCGATCCATATTCCCAAGTATCTTCACAAAAAACTTAGTTTGATTAGTGTCCGTAAAGCATAGGTTCTTATTTCTTTAATCGGGAAATGATTAGAAACCACGTTGACGAAACTAAGTCTTCTTTTTCACTAGACCTACAGCAGCTGGGAATGGAAAGCGGAGACATACCTAATGACCACATAGAGAGCTCCACGTTTTTGGTTGATAATCAAGCATGGAAAGGACGCTTAAATGGAAATTCGTGCTGGAGACCTGCACAAAGCAAAAATACTGAACACATTAAAGTAACGTTCGTGAGCGAAAAAACCGTATTTGCCATAGCAACACAAGGCAGCCCGGACAATAACTTTTGGATTGAAAGCTATACCCTCCAGTACTTCGCTGATGGTTCTCTTAAGGACACTAAGAAGGTAAAATCGACAAACATTAAAGGAATGGGTTAGGTTAGGCCGAGCTGAAAATATTTTTTGTCGGTGACAGTGAAACACGAACATTTCAGAATAATGATGATATTAAAGTTCCATTCCCTTGTTCTTTTGTTCTGCTGTGAAGTTGTAATTTTGTTTGAATATTGATACTGTCAATTTAACATATGTTTACAGGTATACCAAGCCAACAAGGACGGCACTTCAATTGCCATAAACAAGTTCTCACAAGCTCTCCAAAATGTCAAGTGGATCCGGATTCATCCAAGAGCCTGGCACAGTTATATAGCATTGAGGCTAGAGGTGTACGGATATTGAACGTTTTGAAATGGAAGGCTCAAGTTAAAGGCCAGTTTTGCCCGGTGCATGGAAAATTATTAAACACAGTTTGTTTATCACTTCACCGTTCAGGGCAGTTTTCTATAAACTGAGTGTCATAGAAGCGTTATTGCATAGGTTTTGTATTGAACAAAAAACATATACGTTATTGGTTTTGTATTTTGTCGCTGAATTATGTACAGGCCCGATCTGATGTTGTCGTGTTCTCAGATTCGACTCCGTTATTGCTTTGTTTTTGGTTTTAGGACACTCAGTAGAGATCAGTTCTGGTTTTCAAAATATTTTCGCTATCCCGTCGCCAATTTTCTCAGAATGAAGGAAGTCATTCTTATTTTTTAGAGTGTAGAACTAAAAAACCCAGGATGGAAGTGATAAACTGAGTATCACGTTTTAAATAGATGGAATTTAGCGCTCCCAGTACTTAAATTCTGATGAATGAAAAACACAGAAATATCCTCCCGATTCAGGTTTGGTGATTTTGCGTTCCTCTAGTCTAAGAAGACACTGGATCAAACCAAGATGTGAAATTGGAAGGGCGAAATGCGTCAACAGACAGGGTATATTTCTATGGAAAGTTCCAATTGTTAAATAAATGTAATAGAATTTAACCATAAGAAAAGACACAGAGCTGATTTATTGCGCTAGAGTAAGAACAGAAAGCCTGAGGGAAGGAGGGGAGATTAAATCAGACCTTGTTATTTTCAAATTTAAATCTTTTGTTTTTGCCTGGAGGGTTGGGTCTCTCGCAGTCTCTCAGCCTTCTTATTCCATGTCCAGTGGGTCGAAGATGGAGGCACTGGTAAAAACCAAGACCTTTCTTTTTTGTTATATAATTGACTGCTAGAACAATTACTTTAATCTCAGCCGATTCATGAATAAAGTGAGCGACTGAAAATTTTCATTCGCGTGAAAGCGTGAAATAACTGATTTGTCACCTACATCGAAAAGCTGAGGGAGAAGTCAGGAGGGTTCCAAGCGAACTCAACAAATTTTACAGTTTAGAAATCAGAGAAAATCATTTTAAAAACCTCTACCAAGGGACCTTATGTAATTACAACGAAGGGCCTGCACCGAAACTTCATGACTTGTACATTAAATCTACATCAATGTTAAAACTTCTGATAACAATAAAACAGATATATACATTTTCAGCGTTCTGTTTAATGACTGACATTCCAATGACTCGTCACTTCGTCAGTTAAGATCTAAAACATGCACCGCTACTTTTTCAACTTTTCTATTCTTTACAAAATATTTCCATACAATAGATTTGGACGTCTAGTAGCTATGGTGCGAGAGACTGGAACCGACACAGTATCACGATTTGTAAAGCTCTAATCTGAGCCCAATACAGCCATGCAAAGAAAATGGTCTGATGTTTAATTCCTTCACTTTAATCAGAGTCGGTTTCAGAACTTTATAGATGACTGTATTTCTGTCAATGTTGCCTCCGAGGATCTGAAAGTAGAGAGATATTCAATGAAGAGAAATTTTTTTATTAAAAGGAATTCCTAAAACTTATGTCTCGGACTTTTAAGGTTGCTTCTTAAACCTTAGAAATCCCAGTTGTTACACCCCTTGACGACAATACTGCAAGTGCAGCACCATGGCTCTCGATTATTATAAAAGGTAGTTTAATTTTAAAACTTAACCAACCACAGGGCTCGAAGGTGCAGGGTTACTAGTTATACTGACTTTCGCTCAATCTCGGGTTTAGCGATTACTTATCTCAATAGTCCATTTTACAGTAGCAGCTTGGTTGCCAAGCAGGAAGTGAAGCTGAAGGTGACCTTGTTATGAGACAGGCGTTGCTACTTTTTAAATGATAATTACTTTTTTATCATGCTAACTAGATACCAGTCTCTGTCACAACAAGATTACCTTCAACCTTACTCCGAATCAAAGACTTGGTAACTAAGTGCATAACTTTAAAATGACCCATTGGCGCAACCTCGTTCCCAGGGTCTTTTCCCTTTGTTGGTGGGTGGAGCTGGGGGTGGGGCGGGAAAAGGCCCTGGGAACGAGGTTGCCATTGGCGACTTTGGATGTTTTCGCCAAAATCCCTGAATTTCGAGGACGAAATAGCCACAGCGCCCACCGTGAACATTTTAGGATCAAGGTAACTCGGCGTTTCAGGTTATTTCAACCCAAGAGGATCGGAAGTAAAACGCCTGAATAATCAGGAAATATTGAAACGATAATTCAGTCTAATTGACAAGATAAATAGTATAGTTTTACCTTTCTGGATAACTGCTACAATTTTCTAAGTCTTAATTGTCTGACTTACGTGGGGGTAATTTTTTAGCCTGTCAGCGGTAAAATATGCCAACGTGAAAGAAGTGGGCCAGCAGTCTAGATCAGGAGATCCTTGCGTTGCAATGTAAGTTATGTTCACAGCTGATGTAAATTTTACCGTGTAACTAGAGTTCAAGTCATTTGCCACTGGTTTCCAGCTCCCCGAACCATGCAGCTTGCCCCGCCATGCCTCGTGGCCAATAGCGGCTGTACTGGATGTTAGTTGACCGTCGAAGATAATGTTATCGTCTTGAATTCCAATGGCCTCTAACGATAAAGCTACAGAAAAAGGTGTTACTGAGCAGGCAAGTTTTGCAAATGCTTGAAACTGCATATAAAAGTGTTAATAGAAATGGTAAGTCAATAAATAATCCAGTCCTTACTAATGTTTTGGCAGATCGATCCCACAAATCCCTCGGGGCACGTGCAGTATGGCTGCGGAAGGGGATAGCACAAGCCGCCGTGCAAGCAGTACAGCGCACTACACGGATCTCTGATGTCCTTTCTGATGTTATGTACATACAGAGCATCCTGTTCCTCCTTGAAACCTCTTGGAAACATTTCTTTACTGCCATAGTTCAATTCACACTTGTTGATCTTTGTGTAGAAATTAACACTGAAGCATTTTGTCTCAAGCTCACAGTGATATGTACATTTCTCGAAGTTGAGGTCTCGGATCGTTTTAATCACTTGACCCGTGAGCACGTGGTTTTTGATTGGTTTGAAAGCTCGACACGTTTCAGCGGAGTGAATGAAGAGAAGAACCAGGATAGTGACGAACACTGACATCTTCTGTAATAAATTATTTTGGTTAAGGGAAATATTTAACAATTATTATTCCACTCGCGCTTGTTGGATATGAGATGATTATAGCCAACNTTGCCGCTATTCCATCCATTGTCACTGTTTTTCATAGTCCTACTATAGCGCTACTATTCGTCTTAATCTATATTTACATATGTATGTGTCCGTGTTCATCAGTTATAGTTCTGCCTCCTTTCGTCGATTTATATCATTCATTTCGTTTTTATAGTCTATTCTACTTTATATAATGTCTTTTGTGTCTATATATATTTTTATTTTCTATACTTATTTGTCTATTTGTTTACTTATTTTTGAGGGCTGTAGGTTAGAAAACTGTAATAGGTTATTGCGCTTCCCAAATAAAGTTAATGTATTGTATTGTATGGGTGGTTTGCAACCAACCTCTAGAGACATAGGTAACAATGGTGAAAGGCACATATCTATTAATGGAAAAAGTGTAGTCAGGAGATGTCATGAGTTATTTAAAGTTAAAAAAAAAAACGTGACGCGAAGCTTGCGCGCGTAACTATGTATTTGATGCTCGCGCGAGGTCTTTATAAAGAAGCCTATAGAGACCTCGCGTGAGCATCAAATACATAGTTACGCGCCCAAGCTTCGCCTCACGTTTTTTTTTTTTTTTAGCTTTAAATAGCGTATGATAACGATCTTCGTTTTTCATATCACTGATGAAGGCTTAAGCATTAGCCGAAACGTCTATTTCAGAAATAACAGTTAGAGGCAACCAATTTCCATAAAACTCACAAATATCTATTGTTTAAGTCCACCAACATGGCGGCAATGACGTCACGTGCAAACCACCAATATTGAACATTTACTGCTGACAGTGAAAGATAAGGGGGCTGTTAAAGACAATCTAACACATTACCGGTCAATCTGACATACACATTTCTGGAAAGGTCTTGGAGATTGGAAAATTTTACTAACATGTTTAGACGATTCTTTTGTTCAAAGGCAACTGCTATAAAATAAATTTATAAAAATCCCGCACATGAATAAAAGCATCATTGATAAATAAGTATCAAGTGGGAAGGTTAATTCCAGCAGCTCAAGCTTGCCCGGTTCGCAGTCGAAAGATCTCGAAAAGATATGAAAAGAAAACCAGAGAGGAAAACACAAAAAGTACGCAAATTTCGATCAGTTAGCAGCAAAGTTCTTATTCTTGCCACACGGGTTGACGTTTTGAAGGAAAGCTCTCCAAAGTAGCTAGGAAATGCGCACAAAGAAATTAATAAACTAAAATCATACCTCGAGAATCAGTTCCTGCTATCGAAAGGAGTGTTTTATGTTGTAAATGTTTAGGCTTTATATAAGCTGTTTATATTTAACTCTGTGGTACTCACGAGAACAATATTCAAGGAACTCCCAGTGGTACCTGACCTTTTGAAGACCGTTTTTAATTATTCAGTCCGTTCTTATTTTAATTAATTTTGGACGAAATCCATCGTAGGTATAAACAATGACAGCCATAAAGGATAAAATTTTGCCTCGTGGTTTCACTGATTAAAGCTTCAGTTCATATGTTGAAGTCATGTTATTAACGATGTTTCCAAGCTTAAGAAGCTTTTCCAACAAAAGAATTTTAATTTTTTTGACATAACAGTTTTTGATGATTTCCTGGTTCTGTGAACATTGCATCTCAGTAATTGTTATTTAGGCCCTGCAATTATGTTCTTTAGTTAGCGACTTCGGAAGAAAAAAAAAATCCAAAATTTCCTGAATACAAAGCATCAGTTTTTTTTCTGGGTCAGTTATAGAATCATATAATAGAAAATAATCAATATTTGCTCTCTCACCGTTTTCGAAGACTTGTTATACATGTTTTTCTTTGCCGGGTAATGCGAAAATTCAGCTACAGCATTCAGCCTCTCGTAAACTTAATTTCAAAATGTTTATGACATTTACAGTGTGGTTGAGTTTGATGCGTGGCAAATTGAAGTCGTGTTACTTTTAAACTACAAGAGAAATTTATCCGCGTGTGTGTTCGTAATTCGCATCTTGTCAATACGTTTGTGTACAGAAGTGGATCGGTTTTATTAAATGTTGTATCTTCAAATTGTGAAAGATTGACAGGCAACGGGAGAGTTTCATTTCATATCAGAAACACCGATTAAAATTGGCATAGATGGTGAAAAGATCAAAGAAATGAAATTCTTAGGACCTCTGCATGCTGTTTTGAAAACTGACGGGGAGTTTTCGAAAGGAATATCGAAACAATCAAATTGATAAAGTGAGAGTTAAATCAAACATAGCTTCACATTAAAACTGTGGTAAGAAAAAGATAAATGAAGAGATTCTAGACCTCATGTGCAAGACTAATCCATTTGTGGATAAAATTTCAAATTTTGCTTTAGATGTAACAATACTTGACAAATAAATGCTTGCCTACAGCTGTGACCAACTTTGGTGCAAAATGATTCAAACATGATTGATTACAATTAAAATAATTTTTTTGACACTTTCCTGGGTGGGGGTCAAAATAGCTATTAAAGCTGAGGTAATACAAGAAAGTATTCAGAAGACTTTAAAGGAGTGATTGTTTTACTAGCCTACTTCCAAGAGAATTGATTGTATTCCAGCAAACTTTTCATTCACAAAATTGTATTAGAGTATACTGGTTTTTATTGTTCGCCTCGAAAGTAGCTTAACTTCTCTATAAGGCCGAGGCCCTAAGGAGTGAAAGATTTCTTTCAAAATAAATTACTCATTTCATATTACTGTTTGACGTTCTTCTCAAGAAAAGTTAGCTTTTCTTTCATCACTGTTAAACCTAATCGCGCGAGCTTATCTAACACCACTAACTGAAAAGAGTGCAGGACATTTCTCTTACCCCAAGCAGTTTTACTCGTGAAGTAGCACTGTTCGGACTTCAGGGAAAATAATTACGATATACCATAAGCCGCCCTCTCATTTTCGTGTCAGTAATACTATTAGTCAATGTTTCTTATGTGTGCGTGTATTTCATCCTTTTGTTTTCAGTCTTCTCCAATAACTCTAAAACACTGAAAATATTTACAAATCCTAAAATTTGTTTGCAAACTCCAACAATTCTCCTCCATATCCAACAGCCTGTGGGTTTTAAGGGTTGAGGCCAAAGAAAAAAGCCAGTTTAAGTGTATTAAAGTTAACTTTCCCAGCTACAGATATAACGCTTTCTAAATTGGTTTCAATTCAGTTTCATGAAACAGGAAAAAGGTGTTTGACAAATTGATGATATACATTGTAAAGATGATACAGCTTCAACCAAGAATAAGTAAATTAAGTTTTTAAGGTAAGATGAGTGTAATGAAGACATCGATGATAATGAGAAAAATGGAAATTTTTTTTGAAGACAAACTTTATTCAGTCAAACCTATTAATTACAAATAAACTACAAATGAAGCGATGATTTCTCTTTAGAAGTTAAAAGCCCCAAAGCTCAAAGAATCCATTTTCATTGAAGACAAGTTGATTACACGTACCGGGCTCCCAAAGGAATTTAATTTCAAGTTTAATTTAAAGATAAAAACTTTCTTAAGTGTACGAAAAGTACCGCATATTTAAGTTTAGCTCCTGCATTAGATGCATACAAGCGGGACCCCCTTAACTAACTATTTACGCACTCTAAGAGCAATAATGATGTGACGGCGAGTAATACTTGAAATTATCATCATTGTTACTGTTACCATCATTGTTATCGTTACCATCATTGTTATCGTTACCATCATTGTTATCGTTACCATCATTGTTATCGTTACCATCATTGTTATCGTTACCATCATTGTTATCGTTACCATCATTGTTATCGTTACCATCATTGTTATCGTTACCATCATTGTTATCGTTACCATCATTGTTATCGTTACCATCATTGTTATCGTTACCATCATTGTTATCGTTACCATCATTGTTATCGTTACCATCATTGTTATCGTTACCATCATTGTTATCGTTACCATCATTGTTATCGTTACCATCATTGTTATCGTTACCATCATTGTTATCGTTACCATCATTGTTATCGTTACCATCATTGTTATCGTTACCATCATTGTTATCGTTACCATCATTGTTATCGTTACCATCATTGTTATCGTTACCATCATTGTTATCGTTACCATCATTGTTATCGTTACCATCATTGTTATCGTTACCATCATTGTTATCGTTACCATCATTGTTATCGTTACCATCATTGTTATCGTTACCATCATTGTTATCGTTACCATC